TATCGTTGAGGGCCAGGCGTGGGTAGGCAAGCGCTACTGTGTGCTAGTGGCAGTTGTTTGGTGTCCCCCTAGAGGCCCGGGTCAGCCTAGGGGGTGGCCCCAGTTACCTGATATGGGAGGTCGGATGTGGAGCCTCGGGTGGCTATTCCTCTGGGCCGTCGGGACCGCCTCTGTGCCGCGGTGGTGGTGCAGCGCGCCCTCCCAACAGGTTCTCCACAACTGGGTAGGGCCCGGTCGGGCGAGCAGGCGGGTTTTCAAGGATCCAGTTCTGTACGTGGACATGTGGCAAACCTGCTGAGTGAAGGAATCTGGGGACATCATTGGGCCAGCGTAGTGTGTGCCAGTGGTTGTCAATCTTGGCTTGCAGGCTAAACGGGAAGCCCCACTTGTAGGGAATTCGTTTTTCTTGTAGCATGGTTGTTAGGGGTTTCAATGCCCGTCTGGCGTCGAGCGTGAGGGACGACAGGTCCTGGAACAGCATTACCTGGGAGTCCATGTAAGCAATTGAGCGTTGGGCTCTGGCCGCTCTCATGATGGCGTCTTTCTGCTGGAACGATGTGAGGCAACAAATCATGTCTCTGGGTTGCCCGTCACTCCTGGGACCACGTAGCGCTCTGTGTGCTCGTTCCATGGGTATTTCGGGGGGGGGCATCCTCACCAAGAAGTTGCACAAAGAGGCCAGTCAGTCCAGGTCAGTTTTCTGACACGTCTAGTCAAGACGACATGTCATCTGTGTGTGAGCCGGCTGAAGAAAGAAGCTGTGCTTCCTCTGCTACGCCGAATGTTAACCGAGCCCAACGTCCCCCCTTTTAGTGCCAATGCAGGCATTAATGTTAATGTGGATGGCTTCTCCCCAATGCAGTATGTAGAACTATTTTTAGGGGATACCATCTGGGATTGCTTCCCAGACTAACTTGTATGCTACCCAATTTATTGATAACAATCCAGGTAGCTATACAGTCAAGGAGCATGACTGGCATCCCACAGATGTCCCAGAGCTTAAAAAATTCTGGGCTCTTACAATGCTCATGGGGATTATAAAGAAGCCATCGATTCGCTCATACTGGAGCACCAGCCCAATAATGTCTAGTCCAGTATTCTCCCAAACCATGCCTAGAGCCAGATACGAGTTACTGCTGAGATTTTTACATTTCAGTGACAATACCCTCTGTCACCCTAGAGATCACCTCCAATACGATAGGCTTCATAAAATACGCCCACGGCTAGACCATTTTCAGGACAAATTTTCGGATGTTACTACCCCCCAACAAAATGTATCCATAGATGAATCGCTAATGAAATACAAAGGGAGATTAGAGTTCAGACAATACATCCCCTCAAAGCGCTCTAGGTATGGCATAAAACTGTACAAACTGTGCGAGAGCGAAAGTGGATACACGTTTTCCTTTCATGTATGTGAGGGGAAAGATGGTCAACTGGACCCTCCTGGCTGTCCTGACTCCCTGGGGACAAGCGGGAAACTTGTATGGGACCTACTAAACCCCTTGTTTAATAAAGGTTACCACCTTTATGTGGATAATTTTTATAGTAGTGTCCGTCTGTTTAAAACACTTCATGGTTTACAGACACACTGGCCTGCGGCACTGCCAGAAAAAATTCCAAAGACTTTCCACGATCTCTCATAGAGGCAAAATTAAAAAAAAAGGCAAATGTAAAGCACTTCGCAAAGCTGAAGTGCTTGCACTAAAGTTCAGAGACAGAAAAGATGTCAACATGCTAACCACCATCCATGACGAACGCATGTCAGACGTCTCTGTCTGGTGCAGAGTAGAGTCCAAACCGGTTTGCATCAGGGCGTATAATAAGTACATGGGGGGTGTTGATTTGGCTGATCAGCTGATGCAGCCATATCTTATTTTATGAAAAACCAAAGCATGGTATAAAAAGGTGGCTATCTATCTGATGCAAATAGCAACCCACAACTCATTTTTGCTTTTATTTAAAAAAATAATCCAGGGTAAACCACCTTTCTCCAATTTCAGTTGAAAATAATTTCTTTAACAATTTATGGAGATGGACAAGTTCCAACAACGGTGCAAGCTGAGTCCAGACATTTTATTTTTAAGTTACCGCCAACTGCTAGAAAACAAAAAAAAAAACAGAAACATTGTCGGGTCTGTTTTAAAAACGGGAAAAGGACAGACACCCCTTTTCACTGTTCTGATTGCCCTTCGAAACCAGGACTGTGTGTAGGAACATGTTTCAAGCTGTACCACACAGAACAGTTGTAAGAAGTGTTCCTGAATTTTTATTTTATTTTTTGTTTCTTTGGAAAGCAGCTATTTTATGTTAGTCAGTTTCCTTCCCCCAAATCTCCAGTTAGATTATATTTGCAGGAGTCAGTTTAACCCCTTAAGGACCAAACTTATGGAATAAAAGGGAATCATGACATGTCACACATGTCAAGTCTCCTTAAGGGGTTAAAGATTGCTGCTAAATGTACATTTGCTACTTGCACATTTGGTCTAACAAGTTTTCTGGCAGTAACACATAACCAGCTGGCCAAAACAAGATGACGTGTGCATAAAAACCAGAATTTAAAAATTACCACTACAATTTCTCTGTTTTTTGGGGGGGCAAAATGATTGGGGGAAAGAAGTCCAAACACCCCATTTTCTATAAACTTTGATGTCTACTTTATAAAAATATATACTATATATACTGTCATGATGGTAACATTAACTGGGTGGCTGCAAAAATATGTCAAACTGAAGATAGACCAAGCATACCTATATATCAAGTTGAAAAACTGACATGTACAAGTTCTGATTGTTGCCTTTTGGCCCCCAAACAACCCAGCAACCCTATACATGGGAGGTATCACTGTACTTGGGAGATCTTGCTGAACATATTGGGCAGTGTTTGGCAGTGACACATAACAGGATCTATTAATTCATGCTGAAAGTACAATGTTTGTGACAAAGAAACAAAAAAAGATTACTACCCAAAAGTTTGACAAAGGCTGGTGGTAGAATTCAGTGCCTGAAAAGTGTTAAAATACCACCATTTAAAATACCCTTGGTTGTCTACTTTAAAAAAATATATGGTTTGATGGGGGTAAAATACATTGGCTCAAATGGGACAGGGGCGCAGGTTGATTACATGTCAAAATCCCAAGTTGGGAAACTGATCAGCGCACCTGTCAAACGTGGCCTTTTAGCCCCCAAAGGACCCAACAGGCCTATGCATGGGTGGTATCACTGTACTCAGGAGATGTTGCTGAACACATATTGGGGTGTTGTTTGGCAGTGACATATAACACGATCTGTTAATTCATGCCTAAAGTACAATGAGTGTGAAACAAAATGAAAAAAAATTACTACCTCAATGCTTGACAAAGCCTGGTGGTGGAATTAGTGCATGGAAAGTGTTAAAATACCACCATGTGAAATACTCTAGGGTGTCTACTTTTCAAAAATATATGGTTTGGTGGGGGTAAAATACATTGGCCGACTTCAAAAATGTCCCAAATAGGACATGCATGCAGGTTGACTACATGTCAAAATTCCAAGCTGGGAAACTGATATATGCGCACCTGGAAAATGTGGCCTTTTAGCCCCCCAACAACCCGACACACCTATACATGGGGGTATCCCTGTACTCGGGAGATGTTGCTGAACACATATTGGGGTGTTGTTTGGCAGTGACACCTAACAAAATCTGTGAATTTATACCTGAATTGCAATGTATGTGAAAGAAATAAAAAAAATAAACAACCTCTGCAAAGTTTGGCAAGGTTTGTGGTAAAATGGCTGCATAGAAAGTATCAAAATATTCTTAGATGAATACCCTGGGTTATCTAGTTTAAGAAAAATATATACATGTGGGGTGTTTTATGGAGATTTATAACATAACAGTGTTACAATGTCACTATTGATACATTTGAAAAATGTACATTTTGAAACAGCAATTTCCTACTTGTACTTATAGCCCTATAACATGCAAATAAAATAAAAATAAAAAACACATAAACATTGGGTGTTTTTAAACTCAGGACAAAATTTTGAATCTATTTAGCAGTTTGTTTCATTCGATTTTGTAGATAAGTAAAAGATTTTTTTAGTAAAAGTAAAAAAACTTTTTTTAAATTTTTCACCATATTTTATTATTATTATTTTTTAATTAAATTATATGACATGATATACATAATAGTATGTAAAGAAAGCCCTTTTTGTCCTGAAAAAAACAATATATAATTTGTATCGGAACAGTAAATGAGAGAGTGGAAAATTACAGCTAAACACACACACCACAAAAGTGTTAAAATAGCTCTGGTCCTTAACGTACAAACATCGCAAAAACAGTCCGGTCCTGAAGGGGTTAAACATTTCTAGTACATATAAATCCTACATGCAAATTTCAGCGTTGTCTCAATTTTGCTAGCTTTTAAGAATTTTAATGGATTTATATTCATTATTGTCCTACACTACACTATTTATTATATATTGTGCTTAACGTTAAAATGTAAAATTGTATTTTCTGGCTTTTTTTATATAAATTACTGAGTGCGCAAAATGCAGTTTCTGTTCAGATTTCCAGTTTTTCTGTATAATTGTAATTTCAAACCTTAGAAAAAAAAAACATACATGTTCCCAGCACCAAAGATATGATCATCTGTAAACATACCCACAAGTGTCCCTATTTAGAAGGGACAGTCCTTATTTTGGATCCAAATTCCTTTGTAGCTCTTTTGTAAGAGTTCCATATTGTTGGTGTGTCTGATTCACAGTGTATAACAGAATCACACAGCAAAATTACTCCCAGTAATGTGTCTCTAATCTACAATAAATGTGTTTAGAAATCAGTCTGTGTGAAGAAGATACATTGTTCTTGTTAGATTTTAGTTCCATAGATTATTAGTGTCACCTAAAATGTCTCAGTACAGTCTTGTAAAAAAATGAAAACATATGATATTTGACCTAACTGACAGTTCCCATCTTGCTACCAGCACAATAAAAATGAATCAATAAAAAGTATGACTGGGTTTCAGTAACACAATTATATGTTAAACAAATGAAAAAAAAAAGAAAATCCTCAGACAAATGCCAGTGCAAAGACCTGAGGATCTAGAACTGTCCACATTAGGGAAATGTGGCATCAATAGATCATTGGAGGGATTTACTATATACCGGCAGATGGAGCAAGTCATATTGTTCTCTTGTTTTTAAAGAGGCTACTGTGCCTTTAATTGAGCGATGGCTGGCATTGGATCCTGGCGGCACACCCCCTGCCTGTCTCTGTGCTGGTGTTAATAGGACAGAGCAGGGAGAATTACAGGTTATTGTGCAACTGGTTTATTGCTTTCTGCAAATATTCTTATGGAATGTTGAGTAATCTGTTCTGTTTGAAGCCCGGGATTGAAATAGAACCATCCTTACTATTGCTACAAGATAGAAATGTAGTTTGGTTAGTGTTTCTATTAATACACCCCTGATACAGGAACCCTTTATTTTATAGAGCAGCAGATCGTTTCATTGCATGCACCCAGCAGTGCAGAGCTATTGCTAATGGTTACAGATCTTCAGTTAGCACCGAGTTAACGATTAAAGTGCCATAAATCTTAATTGTCATTGCAGAGCTGGTGATGTCTGCTCGGCTCCCCCTCTCTCGCATTCTGCTCCTGCCTTGTAGAATGGCTTCCACGTCGGGTGCCTCCGGGCTCCCAGCTTCCCTCCTGCGATCAGCTGCCTATATTGGGGGCTCCTGGCTCCGCAGCTCGGACTCCGCGTCCTTCCCAGTGCTGGACCCGGCTACTGGTGCGGAACTGGTGCAAGTGAGTGACTGTGGCCCCAGAGAGTGCAGGGAGGCATTGAAAGCTGCGTCTGAGGCCTTCCTGACCTGGAGAGAGGTGCCAGCCAAGGTGAGCAATGAATGAATGGTCTCTTTCCTTAGGTTACTGTTCTTAGCTGCAGTTCTCTAGTAAATAATGCTGTGGTGGCCAAAAGCCCAGCAGTTGTAAAACTCAATGCGTTTTTTATTTTAGTTTTTTTTAATGAAACAATAGAAATTTGGTCTGTTATCACGGTCACACAATATAGATCCCATGCACCCCTCACACACACTTTGTTTGTGTACTCAGCAGTCTGTGTCTGTACGTATATATTGCATTTGTTAAATGTAACTAGACATGTGTTCATTATCAGACGAATATGATTTAGTCTGAATTTTCAGACTTTTTCGGATTCTTTAACTATAACATAAACGAAAGTCCTACATACGAATTCTATACGAAACGAAAGGGCAACTACCAAACGCATTACCTTTTCGTTTCTGTTCTTTTGTTTATTAAACTCTGTGCTGCAGGATAGGCAGATAGGAAGGAGAGAAAAGTCACAGAGGAAGATGGTAGAGTGCAATACATTGCATGCTGATGCCAAATGTCAGGTTAATTAATTGAATCTGTTACGGTGTGAAGCACCAAGTAGCTGTATGTCTGAAAGCCATAAGTAGGTCTGGAAACTGCAAAATGTAAACTGTGTTGTTTCGCAGAAATGGTAATGTTTTCAATTGAAAGAATACACTGGCAGTATCTATGTCCAAAAATCTCTTCATAAAGATGGATTGCTTTCTGTGCTGTGACTGTCTCTTTACATGGCTGTACTTTGTATATTGTTCATAATATAACTGCTATTTCTTTCAGGAGAGAAGTATCCTATTGCGCAAGTGGTATGAATTGATGATCCAGAATAAAGACGATCTTGCCAGGATCATCACAGCGGAAAATGTACGTGTGCACATCATGGCTGGACTGTAAAAGAAAAAAAGTGTCTTGGCTTTTAAATGCAGAGCAGCTCAATGCGAGGGCATATTATGTCAACATCAATGATGCTTAGACCACCTTGTTAAAATGTTAGTTTGATGTCCCTCAAGACACAATGCCCTATGTTGGTTTTACACAGCACAAGCTAATTTAAAGGGACAGTTTAGATTTCATATGGCACCATAACACTTCAACTGAATGAAGTTGTATGGTCCCAAAAGAGCTTAGATCGTTTTTGACCGGTTAAACCCCGAAGTCGCTTCCAGTGCCGATCTCATCTCGCTCCCCCACACAGTGGCATTCAGCTTCTGAAATTTCACTTACTGGAACCATTGTGCCCTTCCGGGCAGAGGCTCCGCTGACTGGCTGAGAGCAATCAGCTGATGCTCTCAGCAAATCAGTGGCTCATTCACAAAACAGGCTTGGGAAAAAAACTTACCCAGAGTCTCCTAGGGCCGGGTAAGTCCTAAAAAAAAAAACCACTTTTTTTTTAGGCTACCTCTAGGAGTGGATTTAGAACATGGTAATTTTAAGGGATTAGTCTCCACATTTATTTCCAATGTATCTTATTCTGATGACCATAGTTGGTTCCAATCTACCAGTTGCTGTCTAGTTTATCTCCTATAGATCCTGCCGTGAGAGGCGGTGGAATCACTTTAGTGTGATTCCCGCTCTCGAGGTCAATGCAGCTGCTTAGAAAATTGGCACATGTTCTCTGCAGCTAATGATTAGCAGGCTACAGCTAAACTAGCATCTAAGTTTTAAACAATAAAGTATTTAACGATTGTGCATGGGGCGTTTGCTGCGAGTCTCTACCAGACTCTAATCTATTAGAATGATTTTCGCAACATAGTTTCCTTTACCTCATTATTTGAAATACGGTATTTCTAATCTAATGTGCACTTCAATTTTTGAAACCTGGAAGCCAATTTGCTAATAAATTCAACCTGACATGTTATATAGATAAATATAATTGCTGTTCCTGCTTAGGAAAACTACCCCAAGCAGAATTAATTTCACCTATGATGTTGTTACTTTTGATGCAATGCCAGTGCTTTTGTCACTGTTAGATTCAATTTACAAGATACTACTACTGTGGCCTGGGTGAGATTCACATTGCAACAAAGATATGAGGTACAGCTTTACTGTAAAGAGAAACCAAGTCTTGCATCCCTGCCGCAGTAATGCGAATGTGAATTTTCCCTGGGTGAATTTAGAATTTCGCCCTGACTCTAATGCGCCATTGAAACTAATGCATATTAACATTTTGGAACCTTTATTTTGCCAAAAAAGGGTGTAATTAGATTTGAGTAAATACGGTAGTTGATTTCTGGATATAGGGGTTATTGCTTAACAGTATGCAGTCAGAATCATAACATTGTAGAATGTAACTACCATAAGAGGAACTCTCCCCCTATATGTAATCTGCTCAGTGATCACTACATTGTTGCAAGAAGTATCCAGCAGAGGGAATATTAAACAGAATAAATGGAATTGGAAAGTTAAAATTCTGTGTGTGTGTATATATGTATATGTATGTATATATGTGTGTATGTGTATGTATGTGTATGTGTGTATATATATATATATATATATATATATATATATATATATATTTTTTGTTCTAATTACATAATGATTGATAATTTTTCTTTTACTTTTAACTCATTAGCTCCTCTCTTTCTGATCTTACTTTAAGCTAGATGAGATGTTGTTTGTTCTGTTGAAAAGGTACCATAAATTAGCCAGTTGAAACTTCTTTAAACTTTGAACATGCAATAATTGTGACTATTCTGTTTTATAGTTTAAAAAAGTGCTTAAAGTATTTTAGGTCATTTTTTTAATTTCATTTTTAAAATTTATTTTATGTTATCTTTTTAGGGAAAACCCATGAAAGAAGCCCTTGGGGAGATTATGTATGCAGCTGGCTTTTTTGAATGGTTTTCAGAGGAGGCACGACGTATATATGGAGACGTGATATCTGTACCATTAAAGGACCGGAGAGCCTTAACACTCAAGCAACCTATAGGAGTGGCAACAATTATTACACCAGTAAGGTTTAGAAAGTACTATATAAACCATAAAAAGAATGATTAACATGGCCACTAATCTTTCTATTGTTCTACTGGGTTTTTTTGGTTTTTTTTTACTAGTATATTTGCTTGTCTATTTAAATATTTGCACGTCATCTGTTTGATCATTAAATAAAAAGAGCACTCTAAGTATTTAACATACAGTTTACCTTCTATGATTTTGGCAAGGCTGTTTTGATTTTTGTTTTGTTTTTTCAAGGTTTTGGGATTCTTTTATTTTGTTCTAACCTCTTGGTGCCTAATCAAATTTAATGAATCATTAATCCATCTAATGGGACATTCTCAGTATTCAAGAAATAAGTTGGAACTAAAGCAATCTATGTGAATTCTAAAGTAACATGCTTGGTTTTATCCATAAGTCACAACACAAAAAAGGAGGGCCAATATTTTAACCTTTTTATTGCCTCAAAGTAATATTTTTGGCAAAGCTTTTAAAATGATTTATTATTTTTAGGTACACTTTTTTTAAAATGATTTTTTTTTTCTCCCAAATTACCGAAATATAAAAAAAATATGTATTGCATCAAAAAATACGTAAATATTTTTAAAAAAAATAAAATTTTAAAAGATTTATCCAAAATATTAAATTGTTTGAAAAGATTAGCCAAAAATATTAAATTGATGCCTATATCTGGCAGTACTCATGTTCAGGTAGACACTACATTCAAAGTATATCATTATGTTATTGAAATGATATAAATAATGAAAATTGGTATTTCTCCTCGTTCTACTTTGCCCATGCCAGTGGAACTTTCCCAGTGCTATGATCACGAGGAAGGTGGGAGCTGCGCTTGCTGCCGGCTGCACTGTTGTGGTAAAACCAGCAGAAGACACTCCTTTATCGGCATTGGCGCTTGCAGAGGTACAAGCTTTCCAAACTATTCCATTGTGCTGTGTGTGTGTGAACATGCTGTTTTATTATTTTTCTTCTGTTTTATTAATGCATCCTCCCTTTAATGTCCATCACAGCTTGCTCAGCAGGCTGGGATCCCATCAGGTGTCTATAATGTAGTTCCTTGCTCCAGAGAGAAGGCTCCAGCAGTTGGAGAAATCCTGTGCACAGATCCCTCTGTAGGCAAAATTTCCTTCACTGGATCCACAGCGACAGGAAAGGTAACACTCATTTTATGCCTTTTTCATAATTAAGATATGTGAACAGGATATTTTGTTTGTTATTGTGATAGAACATTTTCCAATAGATAAAACGAACAAAACCCAATCCAATTTCCATATGTATGACAATTGCCCACATAAAAGCATTTCTGTAGCAGCACACTGTACCCTGGGGAAAAGTAAAGTGGCTTGAAAATGCAATTGAGAATGGGATGAGACGAAAAGGAGCGAGTACATTTGCTCAGCAGTTTATGGCATTTTGCACATGTACCTATAAATAAAGCACTACAACAGTATACACTTAATGTTGGGATTTATTTTAAATTAAATTACAATTCAACATATTTTTCTTCATTCTTCCTAGATTTGTGAGATAAATGACAACTCATGTCTCCTCTGATTATATAAATGCCTTTGTGCTCAACGCTGGCAACAGCAAAAATAAAGTCATTCGTTGCAGAATATTAATTATTTATTTTTGTAAAGCAGAATAATTGAATACAGATAGGTTTTTTTTTTTTTAGTTTATTGCCGTAACTGAAAACTCACAAAATAATGTATTGCCTCCCAAATACTTTCTATTATTAATATCAATTTTGTCATCCTTGTGCATCACAGCATTTTCATGACTTATATTGCAGTAGCTATCTCTGCTGTGCCCCTGGCTAAATTAACTGTATTTAGGCAGCAGATGAATCAGACAGTTGGACCGATAGCTTTAACATCCCTTCCCCGTGTACAGAACCTGTTATGTTTCCTGTGTTGTCATGAATAGAACATTCAGTGCTATGTTATTACCTTGTGTCAGTAGATGTCCCTAAATATCACTGTGACTCTGGAACATGGATTTCAGTCAAACTTTTAATCAACCTCAAGCACATCTGCTTCACTAGCTGATACCTCAGTATCAACTCAAAATAGTTTCACACCTGTCAGGGAACACCAAGAGCTTGACCTTTTAGGGGACGCATCCCGATGTTCTTAAAGCTGTAGTCATCTCAACAGAACCCACCTCCATTAACTTTAGTTTCCAAAGCATATCCAACAATTGCCTCTGAATACCATATGCACACTTAGAATCCATACCTCAATTATTCTTTGCAATAACAGCTGAACTAGTCGTTTCTCCATGACGATTATGATGCCTCCTCACCCCATCTCCAATTAACCTTTGGCTCTGTGTAGTATCTCATTGTGTAACTGAGCAAATTGGAAATATTCAATAATATAGTAATCATTTTGCTTTGTCTGCAGACGACAGTGTTGTATTTTTGCTCATTGGGGCACGCCACATTCACCTGAGAGGTACATAGTTATATATTGATGGAAATAGAATTGGATTATAATATTTAATTGGATGAAAAAATAGGTTTTAACCAAAAGAAAGCCAATTAACCATAAAGCATGTAGTGAGTTGTATTTTATACACTGGTAATGAATTATAGGTAATAAACAGAGCAATTCAGATATATATTCAAAATATTTATTAACATTACTGAATTGAGGTGAAACAAGGCTACCTCATGAATGTGAACCATATGTGTTTTTTGGGTTTTTTTTTTTTTTTGGTTTGTTTGTTCATTATAATGATATGACATATTTTGCATTCAAGCTGCATATTTATTAGTAGAGGCAATTTCTATTTTACATAATCTCTATATTGTACTTCACTAGCCGTGTTTGTTTTACCTCTCCCTTCAAAATGTAATTTGATTGAAAAGTGACCCTGATCTAGAATTTAGTATCTATTAAATGACTAAACTATTGGGTGCTTTAGAACATGCAGGTACAACTGGATATATTGTAGGGTGTCTGGCAAAAATCTCAGACAGAAAGGGATATTTTTTATATACATCAGCATGTAGGGATGTATATAAAAAATACCCCATTTTGTCTTACTACAGATTTTTGCCAGAAGCTCAAGGAAGCAAGGCAAATGGTTAGAGTTAGGACCCACCTAAGAAGTCTGCCTTGACGTGGCAGGTGGGCATACCCTCTCATGGCCATTGGAGGTAACTAAAAACCTCCATTTGTTTAAAAATACATAAGGATGTGGAAAGAGCGCAGGTAACTTTTTTCCTTTGGTTTTTACAATAAAACTTTGTATCCCTCAAGAAAAAAAAATGTGTTTTATGCTTTTAATCAATGTGTGTGACTTGTAATAAAGTATTCTAAAATATGAAACATAATTATCATTAAAGATAGGAAATGGATTTGTAAAGTTTCTACTGTTTGTGTAATGTATGTAGCACAAATTGTTAAATAGTATTACATTCTGGTTTCTGAAATAAAAGCTATATTTATTCATATGAAACATATTTATATTTTCTTTAATACAGATCTTGCTTCGCTATGCAGCTGATTCCGTGAAGAGGGTATCTATGGAACTCGGGGGACATGCCCCATTCATTGTGTTTGACAGTGCAAATGTTGACCAGGCTGCTGCCGGTGCTCTTGCCTCAAAGTTCCGTAATTCCGGCCAGGTAAGACTTGTTTTCGTTTTGATTTTAGAATTACAAATATGTTAAATGCTTAATTTTAATGCATTTATCTTCTGTGACTGGGATTTGAATTAAGTACAATTATTGCTAGCCTATACATTTGATGCTTTTATTTATTTTTTTGAATGAGTTGTTGAAAGAGTTGGTCACTCAATAATTCTAAATATTCATATTCAGCCAAACGTTTATTGCTACATTAAAACAAAGGCATTACTTCATTTCATTTATGTGGCAATAGTGCCAGTTTTTATGTGGAGAATTTTTTTTTTTCTCCAGTAGTTTAGAAACACCAATATTTTATTTTTTTTTTGAAGGTTAGGGTGGAAAGCCAACAAATATGGGGAAAATGTTTCTTTAATTCTGTAATAAGTCTCAGTTATGCAGGCCCAATCCCCCCTGTTTTTGGTAGCTATTTAGAGAAGCTTACTGGAGAGCATCTAGGCATGTTAAAAAAATAAAACAGGGCTGTTACAGCAGATTTTGCTCATGCCTAGTGTCCTCTTAAAAAGGAATTTCCATTGAGTGCCATTCGGGCAGCAGAGCCTAGGTGTGCTATTGGCATCTCTATTCAGGGGCCATCATCAGGATAGCACCTGGGGTGGAGTTACTGTGTCCACAGGAGAGAGAAGCAAGAAGCCATCTTGGAAGCAGCACAGGGAGAGCACAGAAGCAGCAGCAGCTCCTGGCCAATGCCAATGTAAATGTATATTATTATCTTTTTCTCTCCCCAATAGCTATAGTCACTGCCTGAGTGCTGATTAAGCAAGGGAATTTACTGAAATGTATAAATAAAGATATATATACTTTTATATATTATATATGGGTTATTATATATTTCCTACATGTTCTATGGTAAATTTTGTATATATTGTGTATTAATATTGTTTTTGTATTTGTATTGTATTTGTATTTTATTGTACCCTAATGTAACAATGCAATGTTTTGTGGACCCTGGACATACTTGAAAACGAGAGAAATCTCAATGTATCTTTACTGGTAAAATATTTTATAAATAAATAAAATATATATAAAAGTCAAAGAAGCCTGGGGGTGACAAGGCAAGGAGAGGAGGACAATTCTGATACAGAGCATTGTGCTGCCTGCCTAAAAGTTTTAATAATTCCTACTGCACACACCCACCATCTTATTTAAAGTGCTTAATCACTCTACAATTGAGACCTGAGACACTCATGTGGGTAGTTGAAAAGATGTGAAGCTTTAAATTGTAGGACTGGAGCTGTGAGTCTAAGGACTGAGCTGATTTTAATTCCAATCTATTTTAATCTGTAATAAGTGTTGATTCTGTTAACTCTGTTAACCATGTTGGCTATTTCTTTGCTCCATTTTAACACTGCAGATTAATTATATTGCCAGCTATAAAGTCAATGTACACTGTGTGCTGAGAGCTAATGGAGTAGTTGACAATGTTTCAAAAAAGCAGCAATAGTTAATAGAAAGCTAAATTTATCATAGCAGGAGCACTACTGAGGTTGATATCATGTAAGGGAGAGGGCTAGAAAGATAGACAGAGCTGGAGCATTATACAGAGACATGTATTGTGTGAGTATAGCTGTATTGCCGTTCTCTGTATTCCATTACATTGATCCTGGCTGTGTGGGATAGTTATCAGTATTTCCTTATTGTGCTCAGCTCTGTGTGTTATTCATCTGTATTTACTCAGCTCTACCTGTTGTATGGCTCTGTAGATTACCCAGCTCGCTGTGTTGTATATGTATACTTGTATTTTGCCCAGCTCTGTGTATTCTATCTTTTATTTTTGTCTCAGCTCTTTTTGTGGTATGGGAATCTCTGTATTGTACTCAGCTCTGTGTATATTACAGATATCTTTATGTTGTGCCCAGCTTGTTTTATTGTATGAGCATTTCTGTATTATGCTCAGAACTCTGTATTGTATGAATATCTCTGTACTCTATAGGGAGGAGTAAAAATCTGGGGGAGGAGTCTGGCATCCCACCAAATTAATACACCAGCACCCACTGGCCAGTAGTACCCTGACACTATACCTCTATTCACTATACCTCTATTTCTAATGTTTTAATGCTAAACAATAGTCCTTAACCCATTTAAATAAATAAAAATGTACAGTATATTTTCCAGTAAGCTAATGTCAGTTGTGTTTCACATAATTTTATTTTTCTTTAAATTACTTAGCGGGCCATCGTCCACAGTGTGCTGTTTTAGCCAATAAGGAAGCATTGACCTGAGCAGCAATAGGCGGCTGTGATTGGCTGAGAGTGTCAGCTGACCATTTTGAGTTTGTCACTGCACCTTTTGCTAGTATGGCTAAAATTAAGTCTGTAATCTCTGCCTTAGCCACTGGCGTACATACCGCGGTCGCAGGGGTCGCAGCTGCAACTGGGTATGTACGC